ACTAGAAAGTCGCCAGTGCCTGCATTTCGCGCACTCGACACGCACGATCTCCGCAGAGGGTTGCGCGCGGACCGGACAAATCGCACTCTCGCCTGCATTTCGCGCACTCGACACGCACGATCTCCGCAGAGGGTTGCGCGCGCGCCCGGCAAATCGCACTCTCGCCTGCATTTCGCGCACTCGACACGCACGATCTCCGCAGAGGGTTGCACTTTCGGTTGACGCTGTTCGTCCCGCACTCCGCCTTTAAGAGAGAATTTATAAAGTGGGGAAATGTTTTTTCATTAGGACATCTCCCGTCCATACTCACACTTGCCTACTCATTGCATGCTTGCATAGTCATTGCATGCTTGCATACTCACCCTTGCATATCATGCTTGCATACTTACACTTGCATACTTTGACACTGGCATACTTCGCACTTGGATGCTTTCGCTCTTCCAGTGTGTTTGTGTGTGTAAGTGTGAGTGTCGAAGTGTAAGTGTCGAAGTGTCAGTGCTCAAAGGATTTTCCGGAAGAACCCTTCGCAATGCTTTCGGGAAAAACCGTTAGCATAAAAAAAAGAACCCACCCAAATCCAGCATAAAAAAAGAACCGTTAGCGTAAAGAAAAAAACTATTCCCATTGTTGTTTTCCTTCAGTGAGGTTTTTGTGCTACTGCATTAACATGGATACATAGCTGTCGATTCAGGGACCTCATCCAATGAGTTCTCAGCTTTGGGTTGGTGATTCCCTTCAAGTCCGACCCGCAGATCTCCACACGCCGCGGTTGACGTTGGTTTGAAAACATTAACATTGACTTCTTGTTTCATGTCTAAGAGGGCATGATTGACGTTTCTTGCAACTTCCTCTCTTTGCTGGGTTGGTTTTTGATGCGGAAACGATCATGCAAATCGGACCAACTCAGTTAGAAATCTCGGAGAATCAGTTTTTCCAATCAGTTTCATCCTCCATAGTTTCCTCCAGTTTGTTGGGCGCGCCAATGAGCAATCTGACATGGAATGGAGGAACTCGAAGGGTCCCTATGTAGCTTCCAACACCCAACCGGACCATTGCAGGCCCCAGATTGGGCCCCCAACGGCCCAGAGCTTGTAAGCGGGCAGTCTGCTCGACGACGACCCGTCAAGAGTGAAAGAGGCGCTTCGAGCTGCGGGAAAGTCTGGTGGGCCCAAATGGATGGGGTTGAAAAAGAAGGGTCCAGGGTCGAAAAAGCATGTACAAGGGTTAAAAAAGAATGTGACAGGGTCAAAAAACAATGTTCGAGGGTGAAAAAGAAATGTTGCAGGGTTGAAAAAAAGGTTAGGGTGGAAAAAAAATGTTTTAGGGTTGAAAAAATGTTGCCCCTCACCCTGGGATAATGTTTTGCATAAAAAGATGTATTAACCAACATAAAGCTCACCTTGTGATCAAAGGGTTTTACTATGAACCCCTCAGATGGCAGGGCAGACTAAGCTCGCAAGAGAAGATCAATCAAGATCAAGATCATGTCTTTGATGTTCATGTTGCTGACCAAGACAATGAACAGTGGTATGATCATGATGGCAGCCTTGGTGTTCAAAGTCTTCAATGAGAAGGTGCTTGTTGTGTTTTTCATTCAAGATGATGACCCACAAGAAGATCAACATCATGATCTTCAACCTGATCGATATTATTTTCTTTGATGATGTTCATGCTGGTGATCACGTTGGCGAAACACAGTCTGGAACAAGATGTTCAATGTTGAAGCGCGGCAGTAAAAACATGAAGGTCACAATCACGAACTTGGACCTGATCAAGGGTGTTTTCTGATGATGACCATGTTGGTTGGTGTTCAAGGTGATGAAAAGCAGTGTAACAGTGTGGAACAAGGCTTTGGTTTTGAAGGATGATGAAGGCATTGGTCTTAATGGTGGCTTTGATGATGAAGGTTTTGTTTGATATTGAAGACAACCACAGTGGTGTGCGCAATGATCTCCACCAAGGTCCAAATACAAATGAAAACACCAACTAACAGTGAGGTGCTTATGTAGGTATACTATAGATGGTAAACACGTGGTCCTGGGGGTCTAGGCACCCGTTGGGTGGTGGTGGTGGCAGCAGGTTGCTTTGGGTGGGCCTGTTTCTCCGACCAAGTCCTGCAGGCCTTGGGGGCGTCCAGACATTCCACACTGGATCGTGACCTTGAGCCCGATTTCCATGCATTTGGATGCGGAGGTTGGAGAATTGCTCAAGCCCTTCGAGGTGCACAAGATGAGCAGGGTGTCTGCAAAGGAGCTGCGGCTTTCGGGACGTAGATCTGGAACTCTTCATGGACCATCGGAGGGTCAGAAACACCAACCCCATCCAAACTTCGGAATCCAAACCCTGAATTTCGAGGGAAGATCACCCGAACCTTTGCCATGGGTTTTTGTCCCCTTTGGATGGGCCATGTCGCTAGGAGGTCAACTTCACCGTGAGCTCAAAGAAGATCGCAATATTGTTCAGGGCCCTGAATGGCGTACTAGTTGTTGGCCATCACAATCTGGAGGTGACTGTGCGCAAAGCAGTTTCAGCCAAGAGGGTTGAACCAGCTGTTGGTGGCCTACAAGTTCATCAGCCGATGGTTGCTAAAGACAGCACGAAGTCATCGATGTTGCAATTCCGTTCCGATGAAATGCCACAAGAAGCCAGTGCGGAAGAGATGGCAGCCAGCGCAAAGCCATGGATGTCGCAATTCCGCTTCCAAGGAATGCCACAAAAAGAAGATACCAGTACCGAAGAGATGGCAGTCAGCAAGAAGTCATCGATTTCGCAATTCCACTCCGAAGGAATGCCACAAGAAGAAACCAGTGAGATGGCAAAGTCACTGCTGTGGCAGCTACTCTCTGAAGGGATGGTACCCAGGTGAGATAGTCCTTGTTCACTTGAAAGCCATCCCGTTTGATGGTTTTGTGCAGTTTATTTTTACGTTTTTACGTTGAACTTCACACAGCGGGCCATTATGAGGGATGATCAACAATAAATAACATCTAATATCATCTATAATTATAGTCATTTAATTATATTTAATTATATAACGAGTTGCATTAATCTGCATGATTATATTTTAAACTATACACTGATGTATACTTGGAGAAGCGTACGCTCACCCTGGCTGCTCTCCAGATTCCCACCTTGCTGGGCAGGGACTGTTTATTTTTGACCAGCCCCTCATTGTCACGCCCAATGAGGCCAAGGCCCGAGGTTTGGAGTCACACGCAATACCAAGTTCAGCAGTTGTTTGTGGAACGTGAATGTAGCGGGACATTCACGTGGATCGCTTAAATACTGCTGTTGTACTCTCTATAATAGCGTCCCATACATGTACAGACCATCGCAGAAATCTTATGCGTTTCTTTGAGGAGTACAGCCTCGAAGGGAACGCCCAAGAGTTTCTCTTTCATTCAGCATGGAAGTGGAGAAGTGCTGTCACTGTAGAAGAAAGTGATCTTCGACCAAGGCACAGGATTCGACAAAAGCGCTTACTCCAAAAGCTTTTCGGACAGTGTCACCTGTGGCTTTTCATGACCATTTCCTTCCCTTCCCCCCAAAAAAGAGTGAAGCGGCAAAAAGACCCCAGATCCTGGCTTTTCGGCTCCTTTCTCGCCCAGATCATGGAGATCTGAAGGTTCCGCCGGGGCGCCGAAGTGCCGCTGATCGGAGCGCGGGTCGCGCCGGCGCCTTCCCGTCGGTGTCGGGCTGTCGATCGGGCGACGGGATGGGGGAGGAGGTGGAACGAACGAACCCCGAACAAGTCGAGGAAATCGACTGGTGACGAGCTTGGCTCGTGACGAGCTTAGCTCGTGGTTGGTAAGACAGCCTCCACCTACTCTCGACCTGAAAGAACCAGAGCACAGGTTTACAGACCAAAACGGCCGGAAGATAGCAATTGGTCGCTTGAGACGACACAACCGGGGGGTTATCGATCGAAAGTCCGCCTGACTGGGACTGGGGACGTCACTCCAACGTCCGCGTGCGCGACGGACTCGCAGAGGAAGCCTTTTTTGATCACTGTTTAAGCTGCAGTTCAGAGACACCGGATTTCCGAATCACTGGTTTGGCACTGGCACCTGTTCTTTCCAGTGCTGAAGTCATTCGTTTCCTAGAAGTCTAGCCACGTGATTGTTTTGATGGTTTTCAGATTCAACATGATTTAACGAAGCCGGACGAAGAAACCAACTCCTTGTCCTTAACATGATCATTGGTCTTTGGACTTTGTACGGGCCCTAGAGTCCCTAGAGACCTCAAGAGGTCATGGTGGTCCATGTTCAAGACTTGGTGATTGCAACAGATTGATCAGATTGTAATCCCATGCCTTGCAACAGGTGGATTCCCAAGGCTGGACATATTTCGAGATTCAAGTGGCTTTGACTGAGAATGGAGAGACCTGCTTGTGTCTAGTTCGCTGCAGGGGGTTCACTGGAAATGGGCATGGGAATGTGTGTTTTTCAATCGCCTAGGCTGTGGTCTCCTTTTGCTGCTCCGTCTCCAGCTCTGGATCCTGAGGTCGAAAAGAAGCGAGTGAGCTGCACATTTCTTTCATCGACCAGGTGTGGCATCCGACTCCTTGTGCTAACTCCTGGAAATAGCTCGCCTTTACAAGAGTGAATCAAATTAATCACAATTGACAATGATCCAATATTGGGAGTGCTTGATTGTTGTTGAACTCTCCGTTATTGTGTGTTATTCTAGTTTGAGCTAACCTAGGTTGCTACACGCATGCTTTGTCCAAACTGCATGTGTGAGATTTATCAGTGCTGGTGCCAGAATCAAGACCTGCATGATGGGAGAAGTGTCTTGTTTTTTTTTGCCAAGTCGCCCTCCAGGCAAAGGCTTGGACTGGGCGGGAGTAGAGCATCCAGTTTGCCCGGTATGGCAAGGCGCCTGGGCAGCCGCTGCGGCAGCAACTTGTAGGTGAGTAGTTCACAGCTCCCAGTCAATCTCCCTCAGCAATTATTTATGGGGATTCCCGTGTTTTGAGGCTGCGATATCAAGAGGATGTCGGATCTGCTCTCACATGAGTGGTTGGTAGAGGAGCAAACACCTTTTTTTTTCTCGGAGGGAATGGCGATCAAATCATCCGGAAGATCTTCCACACCCAACCAGATCATGAAGAAACCTTTTTATAGATACGTCTTAGATCCATATAGCTTGCCATTGGGGTGGTTGAACAGGGCTCAAAGCAGGCATATAATATACTCCATACATCTCCACACATGAAGAGTGAGGTGCATCCTTTTGGACACTCGTCATCAGCTGCAGCGTGGCCCCATCCAGTCTCACTTAACGGCACGGAACGGCTGTGCCACGGCCCAGCTGCACCGGCTGTGCCACGCCATGACGGTCGAGCGACGAGAGCTAAAGGGAACATCTACAGTCGCTTGAGCTCAATGGACCATCAATGTGCACCATCAAAACATCAGCCGCTTTCCCCACAACATACAGAAACTTCAGCAGTTTGGCCACATCAATGAGATGGTTGGCATATATCGGATGTGAAGTGTGGAAGGGTTGTGAGCGTTTTGCGTGGCAGCAGTATCGCGTTAATTCAATCTAGATCACTTGAGAGCCATGGAGGCGCGACTTCTCGTTGAAAGACCAGTGAGACAGGTACCTCTTGCACCGGAGTTTGGTAGAAGTCTGTGTGGTCTCTAGGCATATTGCAGCTGTCTTTAACCACCTGCGAATAGTAGATAAACTATAATATATATATATATATATGATAAACTGTAACCTGTGACTTTTGAAAGGATGCTCCAAACAAATGACAGTGGTCCTGTTTGTTGGGGCCTGTGCCATTGCCCCGGGGAAGAGTCATGATTTGGCATGACTCTACACTGGCTCGATGAGCTCTGAAGTCTTACCAGTGGTACCTTCTTGTTTCGTGCGTGACTCATAGCCCTCCAAAACGCACCAATTTCCACGAGGGATTCCTTTTTGCCTCGGGCCTTCGGGTGAACAACGGAAACTCTTGTCGAGAATCTCTCTTGGGGGAGAGGGAGCATAGCCAGAAACCTCGGAAGGCACCAGAAACCAAGCGGAGTCTGGCAGTAGAACCGATGCTTTTCAGTTGGGCTTTTCTGCTTCTCGATGTGCATCACACAGAGAGCAGTGGGTAAAGAATCATTCAATAATCCTCAGGGATGCTTTGTTGGCTACCAATCATGACGTGGAGGACATGGAGCTCGTTTTGTCTTCCCAATGGGACTCTTTGGGAGAGGTCTCTCAAGCTGCGGTTCATGCTTGAGAGCTGGGGTGGAGGGTCGTCTGACGGTGGGTTCATGCCAAACCTGGTGCAGAAAGAGTCTGATACCATATCTCATGAGCCCCTGGCGCATAATTATAGATAGAAACCATTGTCATGACAGACGTGATTCAGATTTTACAGGATTCATGTTTAGAACATCATTGCGGGCGCTCGAGATCTTTTCAGGTATTCATGAGTTTATGACTTCTTTCGCTGGCTGAATTTGATGATGCGGATGTCCCGGATGTTTTTGGCCACCTCCATCCTCGGTTGGATTCACTCAATCTCCTCTCCACAGCATTGCGGAGAAGGCCAGAAGACGTGGAGGCGATGGTGCAAAGCTACCCAGTGAAGGCCCAGAAGCATGGCGACTGTCAGATGGTTGAGGTCAGGTTGTCCTTATAGCAGAAATGCCTGGCTATGACATCTCCCAAATGCTATTACTTTATATTTGTCGCAATCCCTCCCTTTATAATGTAGAACCGGATTGAAGCCAAGGTTTTGGATTGGCAATGTGCCGCACATGATCCACATTGATCCACATTCTTTCTATCTATTCAAGGATTGAGGGTTACTGCAGACTCTATAAACTACAGTTTCACGATTGGTAACACCTGAGATGTGGCGAAATGCGTTCCGTACCCACTCAGAAACAAGGATGTACCCACTTAGAAACAAGGATGAAACAAGTTGTTTCTTCATGTTCCTCCTAGCTTCAGAATGATTAAGTTCTGCTGTGACTGGATCGCATGATATCACGACCCACCGACACACCGACAGACACCCCGGGCACATTTTGCAGAACAATTCTGTCCTTCTACCCATTGAGCGCCCGCGAGCGTGTTTTCGCGTCGCAGCCGTCCCGAATCCCCGGTGTCCCGCGATCCGGACGCCATGCTGGCCTCGCGTGGCGTGGGTTTCATCGCGCTCACCATGCAGTGCCGCGACCGAGCTGTCGGGGGTTTGGCGCTGAGGGATTTGGACAGATTCAGGGCCTTGATTGAAGCGCCCCCGAATATGGGGGGTCCTCCCTGTGATGGATACTTTTTCTTTGTTACAATCGAGATGGAATGTGGATAATTGACCATGAATGTGGCCATGACTTGGCTTTGCATAGGGGTGATGTGTTCTTTTCCCGAACTGTTAAGTTAGGTCTTGGGGATGTGTTCTTGTCATTGGTCCCGGTTGGACAGCAAATCGATGAATGTGACCAGTTCGGGGCACACCGGGCCAGCGCACCGGCGAAGCACATGGGGCACGGCACATGGTGAGGAAAAGCACATGGCGAACGGCACAAGACGTGATGACTTTAAGAAGTGATTTAAATGTTTCTATAAGATGCTTCTCGACGTCTCATGTCAACTGATTTACCTTTGAATGAGACATGAGACATGAGACGTTGTAGTATTGTCGAATTCAACTTGCTCAAAGACTGGAGTGAGACGAAGACAAAAGAAGGCCATGTACCCAAGCAAATCGGGCAGCGACTCGGGAATGAAGAACTTATGGAAATTCAAGTTGTGGGCATAAGTGGAGATGGATTCCACGTCCACGTGTCCACGTCGGTCACGTGTCCAAGTCGCTCACCGGCTCTGAACTTCGCAGAATCATCCGGGATCGACTTCCATCGAAACCTGGAGCAAGAGTCGCTGTGATGAAAGGAACTCAAAAGCTGTCATTATCGAAGGCTTTGGCGCAAGAAGGGCGGCTGGCACAAGGGGAACCAACAACTTTGTCCTACACCTATGAGGTGGCTAGCTTGCACGAGGCTTGGAGATGCCTCCAAGGTCACCCTGTGGAAGATGAGTTGATGGCTCTTGAGGGGGTACTGCAGCTGCAAGGGCTGGCTAAGGAAACTCCGCTGAGTAGCCTTGTCAACCTCACGTGCCTTGCCTTTGAAGGGTTCGAGCAGAGCCTAGAGGGAGTGGCTTTGCCCAACAGGCCTTCAAAGTAAAAACGAGCTCAATGCCACATCACTGCTTGCGAACTTGCTTTGGAGATTAACCTAAAGAATTTCCCCTTTGATCAGGCACCTCGTGTAATGTTGCTTCTTACGCCCTTGTGGTGTTGTTTCAAGCTTAAAGTTGGTGATTCAGTTACCCCCCTTTCACTCGTCGCTTGCTTTTGTGCAACCTCTTTTTGTGATGCAGCTTTGCGCTGCGTGCGAATGATGCAGCCTCTGCCTATTTCATTCTATTTGGGGATGGCATGAGATTGCCCCTTTATGGGGGACGTCCTAATTGGATCTCATATGATCCAATTAATTGGTCAAACACCCGAGTTGTTCATGTTTGTGCACTTTGTTTCTTCAATTGTTGGTGGGCAGCATGCCAGCACATGACAGCCATGATGCCCCTGTGATTTCTTTTTTGCGACTGGTGCCAAGGCGCCGAGACACCTGGTCACAACCTCTTTCAGTGGCAGAATTTTCGCGACGGACCTGCCAGAGACCCCCAAGTGCCCAGTATCTCTCCCAGAGCACGCTAGTGGACTCCTCCATCATGGTCACCAGAAGTCCAGCTTCCGTTCATCGGCCGAATTCGTGGGGGGACACCTCAGGTGCGAAAACGAAGAGAAGTGGCGTCGCATTTGGGAGGAAGAGCCTAGGCCTTGGTGATGAACCATTTGGGTGGTCCAGAGGGTGCGAGAGAGGGCTGGGGATAGTTGACGATTGTTTGGAAGGACGCTCGATTACTATAATGTATGAGCACATATAGGGACACATACGCTATTCAAAGTCTTTATAGCTAGTGCGCCAAGTTTCTATGTGCACCACTCACAAGGTGGAATGCGCAGAAACAAATGTGAGCTTTGGGGGGAATTGGGATTAACATTGCTCGCTTAGTGGTCAGAATGCAAAAGCATTCGTTAACACATGAATACTTGAATGTAGTGACTGTAGTTCGTGTTGGTTAGCTAGCACGTTGGATGTTAGATGAACAAAAGGGAACAACATATTTGATATTGGTTCTGGGCATATTCACAGTGAATGGTTTCATCAGCCTTGTAGCCGTATTGTGGTGGCGCCTCCAAACAGATAGATTGGTGGAATCCAATGCTTCTGTTGGGAGTTCACTTTAATTACCTACTTGGGGCGAAATCAAGATGTTCATAGCAGCTAACACCTGTTATGGCGCGTACTCGTTGAACAGACATTATAATATAATATATGTTGTGACTTGTGAACACTTAACATTAATATGGTAAAGGATGGTAAAGGATAGCGATAAACAGCCGATTCTGGGTATCAAACCAAGGCAAAGTCGATCAAAGTCGTAAGACCTGTCTGTACTGCGCCCCATGTCCATGATGCCCAACTGATGAATGTCTAGACTCACCCAGAAGGTGTCATGCCTTATCATCCCGCTTCATGGAGTCACGGGGTTTGTCTTATCATCCGACTAGCTTGGACGAACGCCAAACATCCTGCAGCAATTGGCCTAACACAACCACGGGCGTTTGCTTGTACATTGTGTTCAAGAAGCATTTCAGCATTTCCATGTTTTTTCGGGCATCAGACAATGCACTGGTCGATGTTTTCTATTCATGCCGGCCCCACGAGAGCAGAGGAACGAGAGCAGATGCAGAAAGCTGAAGCAGAAGCTGGGCTTTTGGGGCCAACAGGAAGATGATTCGGACACCCCAGGGCTCCAAACGCCTGGCTTTCGGATTTCAGGCATTTGGTCAGCCAGGCACGGCACGGATGGTGGTTCCGACATCGACGCACAGATGGTGGATCCACTGTGTTGGGTTCGGAGTGACAATGGAAATGCCGGAGTTCCACACAGGTGGGCCCCATAGACCCAGTGGGTGGAGAGAGGCCCGAGAGGCATACCCAACCCTCCAAGCATCCCGAGATAGAACATCTTGGTTTTCAGGGTTGTCCCGTTTGGTGACAGCGTCCATCCATGCGGCAGATGGACCTGTTAGTCCTTTTGTTAAAACTTTTGGTTTGTATCCCGAGATAGAACATCTTGGTTTTCAGGGTTGCCCCGTTTGGTGACAGCGTCCATCCATGCGGCAGATGGACCTGTTAGTCCTTTTGTTAAAACTTTTGGTTTGCGAGGGGCCCTTCGTATCGTCGAATGCTGCGCGCCCAAGATAAGCAGCACTGCATGCACGCCCTTCCCTTTCTTATTTTGTGTGGTTGCGGGCCGCACTTCAAATTGGAGGCTTTGTATATATATGTATATATAACAATAATTAATTAATTATCAATAGTAATGTCAATATATATATGACACATCACAGATGGTGGGATGTGTTATTGCCCACATTGGACTGCAACCACCTGGGTCCAGAGTTGTTTTCAGAGATGGGTTATATCAATATTACCACCAGTTTCCACTCTGCAACAGGAAAGGGGCTGCAAGATTGGCTTTGTATGGCTTTGTTTGAGTTGCACAAAAGAAAATCCAAGATGTTGCCGTTGTTGGCCGGTTGTTGTACCACTTTGGTTCTTCCGACGCCGACTGGGCCGAGACCGGGACTTAGGAAGCGATGGCCAAGATGGCCCAGCTCCAGAACGCTGAAGGTGGCCACGGTGGTTCTGTCCCACCCAGCCGACCGCTGACCGGTTCAGCGGGCTCGGCGACTGGGCACGGGGGCGACTGGTTGGGATCAGACAGGTGGATGGCAGGTGTCAAGCAATGTGCCAAATGCCAAATCAGGCAGTATTCCAGCTAAGTTGAAGTTGTTGTTATTTGGAGTGGGGTTCGACTGTCGGAGGATGTTTCTTTTTTTCTTCGAGGATGAAGGATGATATATATATATATATATATATGATATATATGATATAGACATATATGATATAGACTTAAACGGGCCCACCTAAACCGTGCAGCAGCTTTGCTCGAAAGACCCTTACCCTTCACGGGGTTGGGGACGGGGTTGGGGAGCTTCACTTGGCCTTTGCAAGACCTACATAAGTGCGGTGCCGACACAGTGAGTGAATGAAGGTTCCTGTTGCACTGGTTTTATTCTGTGCTTCCCGGTGTCGCGCGTGATGCATTATGCATTTTTAGTCGTTGCACGGCACGCCAAGACAGAAACTTATATAGATGGAGAGAGCAAGAGCTGCAGAAGTTTTGGTTTGAATCTAGTCAGCTCATCTGAGGCCAAATCTCGTCAGAGTGCGGCAATCAAAGCGATGTGAAAGTGCCTATGCGGCACTGTACATGGTGTCGTTTTGGAGTTTCTCCAAGAAAAACAGCCAAGCAGAATGCTTCGTTGATTCCTTCCGGCGATGGATTGGTTCGGCTGCCAGGAAGCTTCCACGTCTCATTCGCTTTTAGAACCCCGATTCAGGTCCCAAACGGGCCTTGCAAAAGCAACGCCCGATCACAATCCTTGTCGGAAAAGGACGGGAGCGGCGCAATCGTTGCGGACGGACGGTGTCGGTCGCTGGATTTGGCCAGCGAGATCCAGGCTGGTGTCAAGAAGCGTCACAAGGAAGGAACCCCTGTTCATCTTCAGAAAAACATGAAAAATAACATAGACCGAAACCTGTAAACACCATCGTTTGAGTTGGTCCTTAAGTGGATCAGCATGGATATCCCATCATATTCAATTGATCTTGTATGTTCATCAGCTTAATCATGATCATGTTTCACCATTTCATTTCACCTTGTTTTCTATTTGTTTGGGCTATTGATCCAGGGCAGACAGCTTGATCAACTCCATCAACCATGATCGCATCCAAGCGACACAATCAGGCCAGCAAATGCTGGCTGGTGAAACGCCATGGTGTCCATCTTTGTCCCCTTCGGCACCGGCGCGCTGCACGCTGGGTGACGCTTCGCGCCGGCAGGTGGGTCTGGGTGAAGGCCCTCGGCCCAAGGCGATGTCCGTGGTCCCCAGGGGCTGCGGTGACGGAGGAAGAAGGATTCTGGGGACGGAGATGGTTCCTCGTGGAATTTCACGGGTTTGGAGTCTGGAGGCATCTCATTTACTCAATAATATACTCAATAATATTAGGAATGATGGTTTCACGACAGTTTATCCACTTTGGTTGGCAGAGTCTCCTGCCATGAACCTGTGGAAGATGATGGAAGACGCTATTCGAACTCTCCAAGATCGGTGTGTTTCTCAAGGCGATGATCCCCTTATTGTTTTTGGGCGGTCGCGCTCCTCTTCAGCACCGGACCATCCCTCGAGGCATAGGGAACGCTTGATCTCTCAGTCGAGCTGGGCATCTGAACGGGTTGTCAGAATTACCGACGTGAATGGCTTGTTTGGCAAGGAAATGGGAGAACCCAGAAGTCCGAAGGGGCACAATTAAATCTATATAAATTGAGCACGCTACGATCGGGGCTCCTGGCATCGCTACGAACGGAACAAGGAGAAAGTCAAGAACGGGGCTCCTGGCCTTACTACGAACGGAGCGATCGGACGCTACGATCGGGTCGGCTTTTGTCACCGCCCTCGCCTTCCAAGGTCCATTGGGATGCGCTGGGCTGATGAGAGGAGTTGAGGGCCTCATGAGGGCCTCCATCAGCCAATGAAGTGCTTGCTTTCTACAGTATGAACCTTCCAATCCATTAGCCATGTTCCATCACCGCAACCAGGCCTGAAGTGCTGTTGAGTTTCCGGAGTGAAAGGCGTCATGGTTTCAAGACAAGATGACAGACGCTCACTGGACTCTAGGATTCATTTACAAGAACATTGAGCAAAACATTGAGTTTTGTTACCCAGCCGGGTGTGATATACCGTGAATCCTGTAAATGTTTGGGTGGTCAAATTTGTGCTGTTCACGTCAATTTGATGAGGTTCTCATTTCCATGTCAACATGCCAACGTCATAGTGATAGCCTGGGCAAATTGTAGCAGAGCCTGCTTATTGAACACTATTTCCCACATAAAGGTTTATCCTTGGGTCTTGTTTGGCCCATCACTGATGCAATCAACTAGTGTGTTTGAAACATTGACAGGGGGCCCACACTTCATGACCCACCCAGTACCTCGTGCGATGATGTTTGCAACCAGTGAGGCCAGGAAGCTTGAAACAAGGTAGCATATATCATATAGCTTCACGATGTTTTCGTGGAACAACCCATCATTGCGTCGTGATATGTGCAGAGCTATGATTTGCCCGGAGGAGTGAATGCTTAAGTCGCCACCGCTGCGAATTAAAATCGACTCTCACAGAAGATGTAGAAAAAACAGTTGCCCTAGAGGGGTTGCGGGTTTGGTTGGAAACATTTGGCGACGCATGTCGGAGTGAGCTGCAGATTTGGGCAGACTGCAGAGCCCCATGGTCAGAATCTTTCCAAGTCACCTTTGCGGACTGTTTGATCCTCGACGCCCACGAGCGTCCTGGCCAAACCCTTCTCTCCAGTTACATTCAGCTCAAAGGGGGGCCGGAACGCTGATCGCTGAGCCGTTGCGCTTCGCCATGCTGAATCGAAGCACACCGTCCAGCACTGCTCGCTTGTGGCCTTGACAAACCACCAAAAGCGGGGCGTTGTATATATATAAACATGACAATGCTTAAATGGAGGCTTTGAACACGTTCCTGTCAAGGCGAGGGTGGTGAATTGCTCTCATTCCGCATTCCTTCCTTCGTGCAGTCAGCCAGCCCGCAAGATTCATGTTAGCCTGGGCACACAGGACGCGGGAATTCATTCGAGAGTGGAGAGTGGGGGCAGTGGAGTCTGTTCTGGGCGCTGGGCACCATCTCTGAAACAAGCTCATACGCTGTTCGGCATGGCTCGGCTGTGCCAGGTCCAAGTCCACTAGGGACTTCCTGGGCACGTGACTGGACAGCAGTAGGGGAACTGGGTGTGCTTCGGAATGAGGAAGGCCAGGGCAGGAAGGAACAACATGTCAACCAACCAAGCAACCAAGCAACCGACACCAGATGGCTGGTATAGATGTTGATGATCTCCTTTACATCCTTACATTTGGCAACTTTTGCCTCCCTTCTGCATCCATCCAAGTGGTGCCTGGTCTACCGAGGACTCTCCCGAGGTGCCTTCTTTCAGAGGTTAGACATGTCCTCCCGTCACATGTTCATCAAGTGGTGCTTCTTCCACACAGCACCTTCATGTCGGGGTCACCTGGCTGGAAGCCCCTACACTACTAATTAAGGGACCTCCAGCCAGGACACCCCTTGAAGGTCCAGGCAGGTTTCTGGCTGTTGGAACTCCTTAGACATTGACCCGCGCGGACTGGTCTACCGCTCGTTCCGGCGACCTCAGGCCAGCCCGAGCGGAACGCGTTCGACGCGCCAGCGGCAGCAGTCCTTTCGTCGCCGCGAGCCGAGCCGAGAGGGGAGAGTCGGACGGAGTTGTGAAAGGGGAAGACTTGGTGAAGGTGGAGAGAGGGCTTGTTGTTTTCACCATCTTGAGGATTGGATTGGGTGGATTGATATCCATCAAGCCTCAGTACTAAGATACTTTAGTTGTTTTTCCTCATCTCATCGACCATATATCCACCTCTCAACTTTGATCAACTGTGCTTTTGGTCGCCGTGGTTTTCCAACTGGTTCACGGCCGGCTTCGAGGCCAGTCCCGAGTTGTTGACCTGGAACGAGGCAGACCAGCTGCACCGCAGGGTTGAAGCAGATGGATTTGGAACTCCCACTCTTCATGTAAGAAATCCGGAACCAACCTGCACCACCTGGACGCACGAAAAAACATGGCAAGTCAGAGTTTTAGGTGGTTCCAACTCAAATGGGATGGATTACTTCCATCATCCCAGTGAAGACCGTTTTGATGTTGATCTTCCCCCTCGACACCATGGCTTTGGTGCCAACAGTTTACTCCGGAACTCTTAAGGGCAAGAGAGCGATGAGAAAGCGTCAGAACTCTTAGAACATGATGCTCCTTTTCCAGTCAAGACATGGGTGCCCACGTTAAATTTAAGGTATGAGTGATCATCGCCCAAGGATGGAGAAGACCTTGATAGGACACGACCTTGTGTGCCTGTTTTGGGCCAAGAGCGCCCCCCAAGCACTTCCCAACTCTAACTCCCCAACAGGTCAGTATGGTGGGACATGGCTTTTCTCCGCTTTAACTTCGCTCGGGTCACATGGTGCACATAGCTGGCGCTCAGGACCTGCACGGCACACCCCCTGTGGGCGTGGCCAGAAGCTTTGCGCGGCTTGGCGGACACACAAGCTAGAGACCTGCAGAGTAGATCCCAGGCACAGATGGGACTGGCATATGCAATTACCTAGCGAGACGCATCAAGGTACGGAATGCATACTTAAACCAATGTATATACTTATGTATTCCACCAACGTACTTATACATTGAAACCTGAAACCACTCCAATGTAGATAAACAATATATGTATAGGCATGCATGGAGTGTCCGGGTACATTTGGGTTGGTTGACCGGGGGTCAAATTACTGTATTTGTTTGTCCCAAGTGGAGTGTGCGGGAATGGTGAACAGTTTGGGTGTCTCAGTATATACCTGAAGTGATTCTGCGTTGCTTTCGTGGATTTTGACACGACTAAGCCTTTGAAGTCAACTGTTTTGCTGGCATCCTCAATGCGAGGATAGGAGGAATGCATAGGAATCCTGACTTCCAACCCGCGTTCCTTTGCGTGCCGTCCGCGGTGGACACCGTCCAAGGAATCGACTGGTAAGGCACTAGTCATCTTCATTGGCTCAATTTGTTGCTTAATTGTCTCTCCAGCATCCTCAGGATTGAGCTTTTTTGGATCTCCCGTGCCGCTTGCTCAATCCAATGCTTGCACTCTCAATTGGTGAGATGCTTCACCGCAGCTGTCGGCTCAGTTTCACACAGCAAGTTTGCAAGAGTGCTTCAATTGTGGCGTTTTGTTCGGCTAACACCAAGTCACCGACTGGTCACGCCCAAGTAAGTCATCATCTCAGTGTCCAGTCGCCACCTCTGCCGAGAAAAGTTCCTGGGACTGGCCCCAGAGCATTTGGTCCTCCTTTTCCTGCGTCATGGCAGCCTCGGGCATTTCACAGGAGGCGGCCATTGCTGTGCTGGCCATTCTGGGCGCCAAGGACCACTATGCGGCGATGGACGCGCCCCGCGACGCGTCCGTGGGCGAGTTGAGAAGGTGCTACCTGAAGGCCTCGGTGCTGGTGCATCCGGATAAGAGCTTTGATCGAAAAAGTCCGTGGAAGTCCAACGTTCCGCAGGCCTCGGTGTTGAATCACACAGTCCAACGGTTCGTA